CACGAAGTCGTTTATAAGTTTTAAGCTAAGGTTTGGGGTTGTTGTTTATTTTTTTTTCTGTTTCTTTCTTCTACGCACTTTAGCAAAAAAATGCAATTTTTAGTCAAAATCGTCAGAGCAATTGCCCAAAAATTAGCAAAAGACTTATCAAGGGGATAATTTGACCTGCACTTTCAACAAGTTGCCCAAATAAAATTCTGTTAAAACGTTGAAACGGGCCAACGTTCTGTTAAAACGGGCCAACGTTGAGGGAAGGGGTGGTGGTGTTGGTGGTTGTGGGAATGGAATCGTTCTGCTATTTGTGAATATTTAGGTTTAGAAATCAAATAAACTGTGTATTAGTTTTGCTTGAATTCTGCATTACTCATTTGATAAAGGCAGAAGTTCTTGCAAAACTCGCACGACGCCAAAACATATGTTAAACACCGAGGCAAAGACACTTGCGAGAACACAACCAAAAAACAGTTTATCGAGTGACATGACAAAAAAATAGAAATAAGCCTAGAATTTGCAAAAAGTCGAGGCTCAGCAAAACTCAAGTTAGCAAAAATCTGCGACCTAGCAAATTCGAGTCTCACGCACTAACCATTCAGCCACGGATGCTTAAAATCCCAAAAACAAGTCACTAATAATGCAGCTACGTTTGCCAATAAATTGCCAATTCGATGCAGAAAAAATAGCGTCAAATACAAATAAATACAATTTTGCATAAAAAAATTGCAAAACATAAAACCACATTATGTATAAATTATGCTTTTCAAAAAATTTCGAGATATATTGGGCTAGACAAATTCTGAAGTCGAGATTTTTCAAATTGTTATGTTGTTTGGAACAAATGGCTTTCTTCGGTTCACTTGATGAAAAAAAATGCATCAACTGTGTAAACTTAAAACTATTCGAATGTCAAAGCACATGTTATCAATAAGCTGCAAAGGTGCAATTAAATATCGAAGGTGCAACAAAATATCAAAATATATTAATGCCAATTCGATGCAGCAATTTCGACGCAGCAAATTTGGTTGCTTTAAGTCGCAACAATAATTGCGACTTTGTCGCAACGAAAGTCGCAACAATATTTGCGACTTAGATTGGAAAAAAAAAGAAAGTTCGTACTATAACACCTTGCTTCGCAAGTGTAAAAAAAACACAGTTAATTGATTTTAAACGGATTATATTTAGTTTAAAATGTGATAAAAACGACAAAATATAACCGATTTTTTTTTTCATTTTGTTTCTGAGAGCAACATCGGAATCGTTTACTGACCAATTTGAAAAAAAGCCATCATTTTAAAAAGTGTGTCAATTTTTTTAAAATTTAAATTATATTTGATCGACCTTAAAGTGCAATTGGAACAATCAGGGCTTTCTTCCTATACGGGTAGTCTCTTCTGTTTCATTTGTGGACTTGGTTATTTATTGCTTTCAAATTTTGCATTAAAAAAATCTTGATTTTGAAACATCAACTTCAAAAACAACTCCCTGCTGCTTGCAAACAGCAAATTTTTTTATCATCCAAATCTAAAAAGGCTATAAGTTTTTTAGATGATTCCGGCAAGAATTTTCCCCAGTGATTTGCAAGAAGCATGAGTGATAACTTTATTTTGACTACTATGTTGCGGATATAAATTCTCAACTTTGTTTCATCAAATTTGTAGCTTCCAAGTTTTCAGAAAGTAACCATTCAGTCATAAAATTGTCTTTTTGTAGGTTTTAAACAATAAAGGATAACAGTATCAGCTTCCCCCCCCCCCCCTCCTCACCTTATTTAAACATCAATTCTATGGTGTAACGAAGGGTTTTACAAGGTTAAAGATAATGATCAAATAAAATTTTGTCAATGTCTAATTAGTTAGCATGACAATTTTTGTTACAATCGGATAACTTGATCAAAATTTAACTAGTAAATGGGGGGGGGGGGGGAGGAAAAGGAGAAGGAGCTACAGTACCTTCAAGAAGTTTTTATTGCAAAGAGGGCCTCTTTGCGAGAAAAGTTTCTTGAGGTACTGTAGCTCTTTTTCTCTCCCCCACCTGCAAAAATTTCACCAGTAAAATTTTGCAGGTGGGGGAGGAAAAGAGCTACAGTACCTTCAAGAAGTTTTTCTTGCAAAGAAGCCCTCTTTGCATGAAAAGCTTCTTGTTAGTATTATGCTGCTCACTTAAGGTTTTTTTTCACGTGTCCCTTTAATGCTGACTTCACTAAAAGATAAACTTTCAACCGAGTATCCTTATTTATAAACTACTTTCCGAAATAACCACACCCCAAACATCGAAACTTTCTAGAATAAAATTGACAATGATTTTTTCAGTAAAATAACCAGATTTTGTTATTTTTTGTCCAAACAAACTGAGTGCGTTTGCTGAATATTAATAGAAGCAGCATTGCATTAAAATTATTTTAAAAAAACGGATAACAGTTTGTTACTTCACAATGCATTTTTCGTTTTAAATTTTTTTGATCAATGCTTATGTTTCAATAGTTTTTTTTTCAAAATAAGATTTTTAATAGAGCAAGGCTTATTTTTCAAAGAAATACTTTTTCTAAGTTTTTGATTGCGAATTTTTTGGCGCCCACAGCTCAGGGCATATCTTTTGAATACAAAAGCTAGCCGACCAAATTTAAAATCTCAATCGAAGACAACAGACATCAATTTTTTTCAGCCTCTAATCTTATATCAAGGAACTGAAGTATTTCAATTGTTTTGTTTACTGACAGAGGAAACTCGATTGTCTAGAGTATCTGTCCAGTACTTATACACTGAGTGCTCAGATTCGCAACTTCAAAGCTAGAAAATCTTTAGTTTGTTTTACTGTAACTCAGAATATGTTATTTCGATTCAAATGAAATTTTTCATGTCTGGTATGCAACGAAATTTAAAGACATGCAGTCTGCACTGGTGCAAATTTTGATGAAGCAATTACAATGCCTAAAAGTTTGAGTTTGTTCGAAATGATCCTACAAAAATTGTTTTCCCACTCTTCACGTTATAATAAAGCAGCTTCAATTCCTTGTCTTATGATGGCGAACATTAGGCTTGTCTTATCAAAAGATGTTAGTGAAGTTTAACTCAAACTGACCATTATACCAGACATGTTTCTACAATTACACAGTAAAAAAAAACGTTTTCTTTTTCAATTTGATAGATTTGAAGTAACCGATTTAACTTGATTTGAAGCACCTGGAGTGACGCCTCTCTCAAAAGGGCCTGAGTGGAACAGTCCTGCAAATAACTGTTGATTGATTTTTTACGACAATTGTTTAAATCATGTGAATTTTTTTGTTTGTATTTTTCCTAAACTTGTAAGCTGTTTGGCATAGATAATTTTTCCAGCAGCTGTTGAACTAAACAAGGGGGTTTGTTTTCAGCTCGACCTCAGAAGAAGGGGCTTAAAAAAAGTATAATTGTCAAATTTAGCTTGTGACTCATTGCAAACAGCAAATTACAAAGAACCCTGTCGAGTCCTTTGACCCGGTTGCTATAGAGGTGTGCACACGTGGCTGGGCTCATGCAGATGAACGAATCGATCCCCCGAGGGAGCAGAGTTTTGTGAAAGTGGTCTGAACGAAAGAAACAACCCCGAACATATATATATTCCTCAATTTTCTCCAAATTCGAAACATTAAGACAAATTAACTTGCCTTAATTCAATCTGAAACGCAATAATTCTCCGCTTACTCTTGTTTTAAGAACGTAAATTTTTGTGCGTTACGCACACCCGAATTGACCAATTTTCCAATCGGCATGATTGTATAAAAAACCATCACAGGTAAAATATCTTTTTGAAATTGAGCTACAGACAGCAGAATCTTTCAGATGCTATAAAAAATTGTTAAAAATTCTTAGTTAAAGATTCGAAAATTGACTGATTAAAAAAACCACCCCAAGCATAAATATTCTTCTGCACTTTCTGCGAAAGTCGGAACAAATCTTCAGACTGCTAAATCCCGAAACTGCATTTGGCTACGAAATAATTGAGTTTTTAAGTGTATATTAATTAGTCTTCTATCTTTAGGAGCCCTCTTGAGGTACGTGAAACCTACTTGAAAAATCATATCATTCTTGAGCTGTGAGTGCTTAGAAGAAATAAAAAGTACCAAGTAGAACATTTTGTTCCAGCAGATTTTAAATGATGCTGGTTTAATGGATTTTAAATTTTGCCACAATATTTGGAACTGATAGCAGCAATTACTTGCTGTGCTGAAAAAGACGTATTGGAAATATCAAAAACTTCCAGCCATTTCTTCTCGACACTGAGATTAAAGTTTTGATTTTTTAAATCGAAAAGTTCGAATAATTTGAATAACTAAAAAGTCTTCGATATGATAATTTGATTTCGTAAACTGTTTCGAGATACCTAATTTGGCGATACTCTTTGAGAAAAAAAACACTCCTTCCCAATTCGTAGACGGAGCCATACGTTAAGACTCCATTTGCTCATCAACTTAAAAAACTGCTGCATTAAGCAGGGGCGGATTTAGGGGGGGGGGGGGTTGCGGACGCCCCCCTCTCAGGGATTCGACCCCCTGCCGACCCAAAGGGTCCCCCCTTTGATACTTTTTCAGAAATCCGTTTTTGGCCGACCGACCCTAAAATTTTTCTAAAGGCGCATTCGGCGCCAATATATACTAACTTTGAGGGGGAGCGCGCGCCAAAAAAAAACGCGAAATTTTTCAAAAAGTGCCCAAAAACGGCTTTTTTGACTGTTTTTTAAAAAATTTGCCTGCGGCGCAGAACATTTAGCCAAAATAGGGGCAAAACAGTGCTCTGGGAGACCTCGAAAAATCAATTTGGTCGACCTAAAAAAAAAAGTCGTCAAAATTTTGGAACATTTTTTGAAAATCCGCCCCCCCCCCCTCGAGAAAATCCTAGATCCGCCCCTGGCATTAAGTCTATGAAAAAGTTGGGCTGCTGCATCCTTTCTTCTGTTCATGTTTCTTAACTTTGTGAAAAATCTCAAGATCTTGAAATTTTAAAAGAAGCTCCATAATTTCAAAAAAAAGGTGATTATAGAATTGAATTTACTATATACAATTTAAGCGTTCAACTTTGAAATGATTTGCAAGTTGATATGAGATGGAGTTTCCCTGTGGTGACTGTGTTAATGTGTGGCTAGCTTGGATCTCATTTGTACTTGGCCTTTTCATTACACATGGCCAGACGGCGGATGTTTCCCAGACACTGGGCTGCGTTTTCTTGGAGGTCGTAATTCTTGGATCCAACCATCTCCATCAAAACCTGAGAACCAAAGCAGTCATAAATGAAGACTCAATTGCCGATTAGAAAATTATGTGTTTTTTTTTAGAAAAAACAACAAATTTGGCTGCTCAAGTGTAGTTTTTGTGCTCAAGAGAATGTTTTTTTTCTGCTTGCGATATTGAAGTAAATACATAGTTATTTTGTCCAATTTGGAAAACATCTTTCACCTTGCAGATTAGAGTAATTTGTAGACAGGCATATATTTCAAATTTGATTAATATTATGTTGATAAGTTATTACGACTACTCAAAAATGGGCTTTAATTGTTGAAGTGAAGTTGGGTAGTCAAATACAAGCATCACTTTAAAATAAGTTTTCACCCGTTTATCACTACTCACTTTCACAACACCCTCTCTGTGCATAGTGATGCAGTTCTCGGGGTCCTGCGAGAGTTGGTTGAGGGCGAGGGTGGTGGCCCAGTGCACTTCCTCGTCTTTAGAGCCCAGGTAGTGCACGAGGGGTGCCACAGCGTCCTTCTCACCAAAAGTGCGTCTGTTCGATCCCCACTTGCAACACCTGGCGATGGCCTCGGCCAGGTGGCGACGGAGCAGGTCGTCTTTCTAAACAGTTTCATTAGATATTCGAAGTGCAGATTCTTTAAACGTGCCAATTGCCACAATTGACTTCGAACCAAGCTAATCATATGGAAAATCGGAACTACGTTTTCTACCTTCAGAAAGACGAATTTGATGCGTAACCATGACAAACAATTGTCATGGTTACCCACCCATCAAATTCGTCTTTCTGAAAATGTACTGTTGAAAATCAGGGTTCGCTCACATGATCATGACTAGTATACCAGGGGCCAGTGTTGGTCCTTTAACAACACAGAACGTTTTAAACATGTTTTAAGGGTGCCGGAAATCAAGCTGACGGGACTTCAAGCCGAAATGTATAATGAGGGACTTCAAGCCGAACATTTTGTCAAAAACTTGAGAAATATGATTACCCGCATCCAAGTTTAGGCGTAAATAATCGATTATAACGGATTATTATGATAATTTTTTGACAATTATAATCGAGTATAATTATGAAAGTTAGGTGCTTAAGGGATTTATAATTGATTTTAATCGTGATATTTTCCAAGAGATTATAATCTCTTATAATCGATTATAATTGATTACAGTCCTTACTAAAAACCCTTAAAATCAATTATAATCGATTATAATCTCGCGTTTTGCCAAAATTTTGCGATATTCGAATTATATCTTATGGTTTATTAATTTTGTGTCAATAAGAAAATCTCTAAAAGAGAGATCTCTTGAACACTTTGGTTCATCTGAACACAAAGTTTTACCACGAAACAAAAGTTTCATAGAGATCCTTTCATATGAAGGGAAATGTTCTCGCCGTAAATGAAAAATAAATTTTCCGAATCAATCATGAGACTGAATCAATTTGCTGATGTTTTGGTGTTTAAAAAAGCTTAAAATATGCATCACAAAACAATCCTAATGGGGAAGAAATGAAAAAAAAACTTATAATTTTGAATCAATTGGAAAACTTTTAAAATATTTTTCTCATTTTTCATAGAAACCAATGTCCACAAAAAGCAAAAAATATAAGCAATTTAGATGCAACTTCGAAGACAAAAATGGACAAACAAAAGGGATTATAATCTATTATAATCAATTATAATGGATTTTTGTGCAAAATTAATGAAATAGAAATTTGAATAAAAATAATAGATTATAATCAATTATAATTTTATCGAAAAATAAAATGATCATAATTGATTATAATTTGATTTTGAAAAGAGTGATTATAATCGATTATTAATTGATTAAAATCGATTCTTTTTCAATTTTAGTGAGACTGGTACTAAAATCGTAATATAATCGATTATTAACGCTTGAAACTGGATGCGGGTAGTTTGAAAACTGTTTCAAAAAATTTCTCAATTTCTTCGGCTTGCTTAACAAATTATTATTGGCTTTTTCATAATTTTTGCGCCTCTAATTGATGTTTAGGAAAATTAAAAATTATAACATAGTTAATGGGCTTTTTCATGTGTATATAATTTATGCATTTCAAAATCCGGCTGATCTAAAAATCTTATGCCCCTCTTAAGTGGTGCATTGTTATTAAGAACGCTTATGGTGAACTAAACTTGCCTAATTTTTGAAAAATAACCTTTTTATTGATAAAAAATTAGTGTTTTTAGGTGCTTCTAATGTTTAAATTTCGGCTTGAAGTCCCTTCGGCTCGAAGTCCCTTCGGCTTCACGTCCCGTCGGCTTGTTGTCCTAGACCCGTTTTAAACACTGTTTAAAACGTCTGTCAGAAATAGCGTGTTATTTTCTCGTGTCATAAATGACGTCAAAACAAGTCAGCCAAGCTCGCTAGCAAGAACAGTTAGCAGTTATATGTTGCTAAGTTAACGCATTGCTTAACCACTTAATTGTTAAATTTCTCGCTACTAGAAACACGTTACAACAGTATTGTTTGAAACAATTGACGGCTCTTTTTCCTTCTCCCCCCCCTTCTCACATAAGTATCGATTTCATGGGGAATCGAGTGGTTTTACAAGGTTGAGTATGAACACTAAATATGTTTGTCATGGCCTAATCAACCCGTATGCTAAATTTGATCACAATCCGATTATGTTAATAGAAAAATAACTCTAAAAAATTTGCAGGTGGGGGGAGGAAAAAGGACCTAAGTGACAAAATAGTGTATGGTCTACGCCTACTGGAAGAAAACCTGACCCCGTCTGGGCAGAGTATGAGAAACTTGATAACCATGAAGCAAAATGCCGATACTGTGAAGCAGTTTTTGCCGGAATTCCCTCTAGGATGAAGAAACATTCCGAGAAACACAACTATCCTCAAACTCCTGAAAATGATACTGATACTCCGAGCACTCCGAAACAACAAACAATCAACAACTTCATGGTCAGAACGACTCACTATGACAAAGTAAAGTTCGACAAAGCTCTTGGGAAATCCTTTTTTGCCTGCAATATCCCCTTTCGCGCTGTTAAAAACAAACAATTTAGAAACTTTGTTGAGATGTTACACCCAGGATATAAACTGCCGACTAGAAAAGTTATCGGAAACGAAGCTTCGGACGAAGTATATTGCGACCTGCAGGAAGAGGCGAAGGTACAACTGAACAGATTCCTTGTTACACATGCTATCGACGGGTGGTCTAACGTCTCCAATGATCCTATCGTTGTGATGTCGATTCAACATCGTCACAAGATATATATTCTCGACTCTATCGATAGGTCAGGGTATGCCCATACTTCTGATTACCTAGAAACCTTGGTAAATAATGGGATACAACGTTCCAAGAAAAACTACAAGGCAGAAGTTGTTGGAGTTGTGTCAGATAATGCTAGTAATATGGTGAAGTTGAGACGGAGCACCGCGGAGGGGACATCAATCACCGAGTACGGTTGTTCAGCACATTCCCTGGAATTGTTGGCAAAAGACCTGAAAACTCCACTCACCAAAATTGTGACGGTGGCCAAACTTCTCAGAAACGGCCATCTGCCCCAAGCATGGCTCAAGGTTTCCGAGGGATCAACTTAACCGCCATTGGCTTGCGAAACAAGATGGGGTAGCAGTGTCAAAACCCTGGAACGGTTTATTAAGAACTGGCAACTACTTCGTACCATAGTTTCATCTAACACTGACCAGGGATGCGTAATAATATATTGCAATACTATTGTGTACCCGTTACCCAATATATTGTATTGGTTCTACCCTGCCAATCAATTATTGCAATAATTGCAATTAATTGCCCGATGCTTTGAGAAAAGACGTGAAAAAGAAGGTTGTTGGACCCAGCAGATAACTTCTGCATTCGCTTGTTCCCACATTTTCATTCAAATCGGTCTCCCCCAAGGACGGCGAAATAGAAATTCGCAACTTAATTGCTCGTATGGGGAGTGCAGTCAAAGGCTTTAGGCATGGCTGTGCTCTGAAACCAAGTGATGGCTGAAATGAGTCAATTTGCGTCGGCAACACTTCCGGCCAATCACTGGCAGTTGCGGTGTTTGTACGCTTTGATCATATTGTTACACTATATTGTCGACAGGACACTCAATTATTGTATTGTGTGAAAGCTGACAATCAATTATTGTAGTATATTATATTGCAATATGTTGTGACCGCAATATATTTTTACGCATCCCTGACCCTGACTATTTCTCCAAACAACCTGCAAAGGAAGTTCAAAAAATATTGAATGATTTAGTTGTGTACCAGCACAGTGAAGAAGCACTAAAGTCATCGAAGCCTGTTTGCTTAGCTCTGAACAAAGTCCAAGGCGACCATGTAACAGTTGCCGACTCTGTTGCAGCATGGAAAGCTCTATTAGCTGAGTTTCGTTTTTTTTGGGAGCGAAGCCAGAGAATGGATTGAGCTAGCAGAGAAAGGATACTTTAACACTTTGGTGCCACCATTGTTCACTGCGTATGCCATCCTCGGTATTTTGAGAGGGACCTATCATCATCTGAATGGAAAGAAACAGCAGGCTGGGTTGAAAACGAAAACCCATTCTGTTATTCGTATTAAATGAACTTATTGGAGGTGGAAAAAACAACCTTGAGCAAACTTTCCGTTCATCCAATTGTGAAATCGGGAACTTTTATCGGGCTCAAGTGTTAATCGGTACTGTTCCAGAAGTGTGCTCCGATATGTGCTTGAGATTACTTGCACTTGTTTCCACCTCAGCCGGTCTCCAAAGAATTTTCTCGACGATGGGAATGGTTGAAAGACGGAAAAAGAAACAACTTGGACAGTGCAAAAACTGCAAAAATTTCATTTTGTATGTGTGCTCTAATGATTGAATTTCAATAATAAAAGTTTTTGCTTGGTTTTTACTTTTGACATTTTAAACATTAATGACGCTACAAACGTTAAAAATGACATAAATTGACCAACACTGCGAGGGGCGGACCTAGGATTTTCTTGAGGGGAGGGGGGGCGGATTTTCAAAAAACTTCGGAAATTTTGACGACCTCTTTTTAGGCCGACCAAATTGATTTTTTCGAGCTCTCCTAAAGCACTAGAAAGACGCTGCTTTGACCAAATTTTCTGCGCCGCGAACAAATTTTAAAAAAAAAATAGGTCAAAAAAGCCGTTTTTGTGCTTTTTTTTGGAAAATTTTGACTAAAAAATTGCGTTTTTTTGGCGCGCGCTCTCCCGCAAATTTAGTATATATTGGCACCAAAGGCGCCTTTAGAAAAATTTTAGGGTCGGTCGGCCAAACATGGATTTCTTAAAAAGTACCAAAGGAGGGACCCTTTGGCTCGGCAGGGGTCGAATCCCCGAGGGGGGGGGGGGGGCGTCCGCTCTCCTCCTAAATCCACCCCTGTACTATAGTATTAAATTTGAGATTTAATAAAGCCCAAAAAGTCAAATAAAACAATGATTCAAACAAGGATAGCCGGTTACTGTGCAAGAAGCACAGAATGTTCCGACCTTAGTCTTAAAAATACAAAAATACGTTTTTTTTCAAGAACTTAGGCATATTGGATTGTCATATTAAAATAGGCAAATTGGCAAACAGTTTGTGTAAAAAATGATTAAAAAACAAAAAAGTCGTTAGAAAAACCAAAAACATTTACAATTTTTTTCAAACTTTTTCGCAGATACTTTTTTAATTTTGAAAAAAAATTTGATTACCAAAATGGCGCAAACTCCAAAAACTAACTTTTATGCTGTTACGCATCATTTTACTCAAAAATTTCAAAAGGGTTTTTCTAGACACTGTCGTTCGAATCACGACTGAATTTTTAATGTTCGAATCACGACTGAATTTTTAATGTTCGAATCACGACTGAAAGAGCTTTAATATGATATATCATTCGACACTTTCCGATGATTATTTGTGGTACGTGATTTTGCATGGAAAAAAAAATTAAAACACTCAAATACAAAAATCCTTACCATTTTCAATGGCCGGAACAACAACCAGGAGTTTCTCTATATCTTTGAAAACAATTATTGAAAATTGAAATATTCTGGAAATGAATGATAACAAGGTGTTGTGAACTTCAAAAACGAAATCATAGACGCAGTTTTGTCACGCCAATTAATTACCTAGAAACCTTGGTAAATAATGGGATACAACGTTCCAAGAAAAACTACAAGGCAGAAGTTGTTGGAGTTGTGTCAGATAATGCTAGTAATATGGTGAAGTTGAGACGGAGCACCGCGGAGGGGACATCAATCACCGAGTACGGTTGTTCAGCACATTCCCTGGAATTGTTGGCAAAAGACCTGAAAACTCCACTCACCAAAATTGTGACGGTGGCCAAACTTCTCAGAAACGGCCATCTGCCCCAAGCATGGCTCAAGGTTTCCGAGGGATCAACTTAACCGCCATTGGCTTGCGAAACAAGATGGGGTAGCAGTGTCAAAACCCTGGAACGGTTTATTAAGAACTGGCAACTACTTCGTACCATAGTTTCATCTAACACTGACCAGGGATGCGTAATAATATATTGCAATACTATTGTGTACCCGTTACCCAATATATTGTATTGGTTCTACCCTGCCAATCAATTATTGCAATAATTGCAATTAATTGCCCGATGCTTTGAGAAAAGACGTGAAAAAGAAGGTTGTTGGACCCAGCAGATAACTTCTGCATTCGCTTGTTCCCACATTTGCATTCAAATCGGTCTCCCCCAAGGACGGCGAAATAGAAATTCGCAACTTAATTGCTCGTATGGGGAGTGCAGTCAAAGGCTTTAGGCATGGCTGTGCTCTGAAACCAAGTGATGGCTGAAATGAGTCAATTTGCGTCGGCAACACTTCCGGCCAATCACTGGCAGTTGCGGTGTTTGTACGCTTTGATCATATTGTTACACTATATTGTCGACAGGACACTCAATTATTGTATTGTGTGAAAGCTGACAATCAATTATTGTAGTATATTATATTGCAATATGTTGTGACCGCAATATATTTTTACGCATCCCTGACCCTGACTATTTCTCCAAACAACCTGCAAAGGAAGTTCAAAAAATATTGAATGATTTAGTTGTGTACCAGCACAGTGAAGAAGCACTAAAGTCATCGAAGCCTGTTTGCTTAGCTCTGAACAAAGTCCAAGGCGACCATGTAACAGTTGCCGACTCTGTTGCAGCATGGAAAGCTCTATTAGCTGAGTTTCGTTTTTTTTGGGAGCGAAGCCAGAGAATGGATTGAGCTAGCAGAGAAAGGATACTTTAACACTTTGGTGCCACCATTGTTCACTGCGTATGCCATCCTCGGTATTTTGAGAGGGACCTATCATCATCTGAATGGAAAGAAACAGCAGGCTGGGTTGAAAACGAAAACCCATTCTGTTATTCGTATTAAATGAACTTATTGGAGGTGGAAAAAACAACCTTGAGCAAACTTTCCGTTCATCCAATTGTGAAATCGGGAACTTTTATCGGGCTCAAGTGTTAATCGGTACTGTTCCAGAAGTGTGCTCCGATATGTGCTTGAGATTACTTGCACTTGTTTCCACCTCAGCCGGTCTCGAAAGAATTTTCTCGACGATGGGAATGGTTGAAAGACGGAAATAGAAACAACTTGGACAGTGCAAAAACTGCAAAAATTTCATTTTGTATGTGTGCTCTAATGATTGAATTTCAATAATAAAAGTTTTTGCTTGGTTTTTACTTTTGACATTTTAAACATTAATGACGCTACAAACGTTAAAAATGACATAAATTGACCAACACTGCGAGGGGCGGACCTAGGATTTTCTTGAGCGGAGGGGGGGGGGGGCGGATTTTCAAAAAACTTCGGAAATTTTGACGACCTTTTTTTAGGCCGACCAAATTGATTTTTTCGAGCTCTCCTAAAGCACTAGAAAGACGCTGCTTTGACCAAATTTTCTGCGCCGCGAACAAATTTAAAAAAAAAATAGGTCAAAAAAGCCGTTTTTGTGCTTTTTTTTGGAAAATTTTGACTAAAAAATTGCGTTTTTTTGGCGCGCGCTCTCCCGCAAATTTAGTATATATTGGCACCAAAGGCGCCTTTAGAAAAATTTTAGGGTCGGTCGGCCAAACATGGATTTCTTAAAAAGTACCAAAGGAGGGACCCTTTGGCTCGGCAGGGGTCGAATCCCCGAGGGGGGGGGGCGTCCGCTCTCCTCCTAAATCCACCCCTGTACTATAGTATTAAATTTGAGATTTAATAAAGCCCAAAAAGTCAAATAAAACAATGATTCAAACAAGGATAGCCGGTTACTGTGCAAGAAGCACAGAATGTTCCGACCTTAGTCTTAAAAATACAAAAATACGTTTTTTTTCAAGAACTTAGGCATATTCGATTGTCATATTAAAATAGGCAAATTGGCAAACAGTTTGTGTAAAAAATGATTAAAAAACAAAAAAGTCGTTAGAAAAACCAAAAACATTTACAATTTTTTTCAAACTTTTTCGCAGATACTTTTTTAATTTTGAAAAAAAATTTGATTACCAAAATGGCGCAAACTCCAAAAACTAACTTTTATGCTGTTACGCATCATTTTACTCAAAAATTTCAAAAGGGTTTTTCTAGACACTGTCGTTCGAATCACGACTGAATTTTTAATGTTCGAATCACGACTGAATTTTTAATGTTCGAATCACGACTGAAAGAGCTTTAATATGATATATCATTCGACACTTTCCGATGATTATTTGTGGTACGTGATTTTGCGTGGAAAAAAAAACTAAAACACTCAAATACAAAAATCCTTACCATTTTCAATGGCCGGAACAACAACCAGGAGTTTCTCTATATCTTTGAAAACAATTATTGAAAATTGAAATATTCTGGAAATGAATGATAACAAGGTGTTGTGAACTTCAAAAACGAAATCATAGACGCAGTTTTGTCACGCCAATTAATAACGCATAAATATTGAAAACCGATGCATTGTATTTGGCTTGACTCAATTGGTATGATTTATTTTTTTTTGAAAACTCAAGTTGATGCTTACGGTGATGGTTAAACTGGATAACATAGGTACAACGTTGTGGTCTGTAATGACAGCCAAATTTTCCTCATCTTTCGCAATCTGAGCAATAGCAGCGCAAACAGCCGCCAAAACTTCAAAGTGGTCAGACTCCAAGAGGTTGACGATGAGTTCCAGACCCCCGACGAAGGAGCGGACCATCTCGCCTGCCTCGCGGTGGTTCATGATGCAGGGACAGATGGCCCAGGCGGCACTGGCTTCCACCTCCCAGTTCTTGTTCTTCAAAAGGGACCAGAGAAGACGCACACCATCGTAGTTGTCAATGATTCTGTATGGAAATTAAAAAAAAAAACAAGTTACTATTTTTTGGCACAAACAATTTAGCCTGTAATTAGTTCATTCAAATAAAAATTTAAAATTTTCACAATACCCTTGCTTATTGCTAGGGTAAAGAACAAAGTGAAAATGATCACTCGTGCGTAAACTCGCAAAGAACTATTTTTTTCTTCATGTTATCAGATATTGTTTCTAATTTTCCCCAAAAAGTTTTAAACTGAAGCCTATGATTAAACTTACGGCATGCTCTCTTTATCTCTGGCACAAGCCCCGATTGCGTTAGTTGTGTTGACCAACAAGGCATGGTTAGTTCCCGTCAACTGACTTATCAACGGAGGAATTCCATTCTTGTTCCTGATAGTGTTACGATTCTCTTCCGACTTAGCGCATTCGCTAAGTGCACCGACAACATTGATCAGGACATCTTCGGGCTGGTCTTCAAGGAGCGAAACCAGACGCTCAATAACACCCATTTTCTGGAACATCTTTACGTTTTCATCGCTGATCGCGCACTTCCAGATAGCGCCAGTAGCTGCAGCTAGGAGTTCCTTATCGTCTGATTGGTCAAGAAGGTCAACCAATGGCTGAAGTCCGTTGAACTTTCGGACAAGATTTCGAGTTTCCTCATCCTCAGCACACTGAAATGTCAAAATATGAAATCAATTATAAAGTGCATTTAGGTTGTTTCGAAAGAACTCCGAAATATTTTCTTGGCTCACAATAACAATTTAAATTAAAAATTGCGCTCGAATGTTTTCAGCGGCCATTTGCGATAAAATTTAAACGGTCAAAAGGTTTGAGAAGTGGAAAAAGGACCACGGAACCAAAAAAAAACTTTTTCAACTTTCGAAGAAAATATATAAACGGTAAAGCTCTCTGAATATCAAAAACAACTTATGATTTTCAAGCCAAGAAAAAACTTAATCAAGTAAAAAATATATGACCTTAAAAATTGCACTAGCGCAGTGCATCCTCAGTTCCAGGTTCTCGCTCTTCAAATTAGCAACCAGATCCTCGATCATCCCTTGCGTCCTAATAGCCAGTCTGTAGTTACTCTCAGAAGCACACTCCTGCAGAGTCCCGATGACGGGAACCAGCATGCTCTCATATTGAGACTTTAGAAGCTTCGCCAAGAGAGGAATGGCACCTGCCTTTCGCATCGCGCGCTTGTTCTTGGTACTCTTGCTGCAAGACCACAGAGCCAGAGCGCCACATCTGGCAACTTCGATGTCTTTGGAATCTCCACCACTGGCTGATTTGCCAACGGGCGCGTTATCCATCAAAGCCACCTGTGGTAAAACAAAAAGTCATGAACGATCCCAACATCCTGAAAATGGTTGACTAAAAAGGCTTTAATAATTTGTTTTGAATTAGAGATTCCCATCATCGAAAGAGGAAAAGTCTGTGACTCACAAGCTTCTTAATTCCGCCGTACTGTCGGACAACTCTTCTAGCTCGCCTGAATTTGGCTACGTTGGCAATGGTCTCTGCCGCCAGACATTTGAGGTCCTGGTTGGGAGACTTGAGGATGTTGACCATCGTCTGCAGACCACCCAACTCTGCGATAGACTTGCGGATCTGCACATTCCGAGAGATTTCCTTCAGGATCTTTAGAGCTCCGATCTGTAAAGTTAAAAGCAAGTAAGAATTCATTCTCTCTTTCGAATTAACCAAGAAATTCAAACAAAAGAAATTGAGCTCAAGATTTCCGCGTAACTATTTTGAAAATTATTCAATTTCAACTGTGTTTTATGATAAAACAGTGATATTTATAATGAAATTCTGGCTGATTTTAAGCAAATTGATTTAATTTCAAGATTAGAGCGAATTTAATTTCCAGCGTCTAAAAGAGACTGCTTGATTTCAACTTCTGGGAGAAAGAGCAACTAATCTGCAATCTATTAATGAACGTCTGCAATAATCCAACTGACTTTGCATTTAACGTCTTCAGTGTCCAGTAGATTGAGCAGCACCTCCAGTCCTCCCACATTCCGGATTGCCAACTGGCATGTCTCCTGGCCCAGGTTGAAGTCCCGCAGACAACACAGGGCTATGATTGTCGCAGTTTGGTTTCCACCCTGGACGACACAAAAAGCCAGAATGTAAAACTTTTAAGAAGACCCGGGTTGACGTCCATAAAAGAAAAATGCTTATCATACAATTTCATATATGGCGACTATGGAAAAAAATACTTATTATACAGTTTTTATACAAAATTGAAAAACTGTATTAAGCGATTTGAAAAAAATACTTCAGTTCTATTTCCATCTTTTGAATCTTTCTGCTCAATAAAAAAGTGATTTTTATTTTTTGATTATAAAAATGCTTATCACACAATTTTCATGTATAAAAAATGATATTTTTGCTAACTTCTTCCAATTTTTTTTGTTAAAAATTGTATTATTTAAAGCTTATTATTTGATTCCAGACCATGTAAAAAATGCCTATCATAATATTTCATAGTATGGAAAAAACGCTTATCATGCTATTTTCATTGTATTTTTTTTGGTCTATGAAATAGTATGATAAGCATTTTTTTCATAATATGAAATAGTTTGATAAGCATTTTTTGTCAACCCGGGGATATAAAAGATATTGGATTCTAGATCAAAAACGTTTACGTTTTCATGGGTCTAAACTTTACAAGGGAATAAGTAGGATTACGCGACTTGAAACTTGGCTCGAAAATTTCATCCGTATACTACTGAATCAAGGTCATTTTTCCCATTTTCAGTCCCGAATTTACGTGGTATTCATTTTGGAATCTCTTATTGTAATTTTGACTAACATTTCAGCAAGTACTTTATTTTCTAACCTTGAGGTACTTGACGAGCTTCTGTATCTGCCAGTACTCGGGAGGCAGGTCGGCTGACCCCCCGTCCTGGCGTCTGTCGGGTGCCTCCTCCTCCTCCTCGCTTTCCGAGGAACTGTCCGAGAAGTCGCTGTCCTTGTTCGTCATAGGAGTGCTGCGCGGTTTGCCACCGGTGCTGAAGGCACACACAGAGTAAATTGGAGTTGGTTCATACCAGTTTACTCCAAATGAATGATTAGGAGAAACAATGATTAAACACGTTAGGATTTAGGGCGATTATATTCAAAAGTATCATTTGAAAAAACCGTTTTCAAGTCTAAGCATAAAAAACTGTAAACATGTTCAGTTTTTTGTATACAATTTGACCGAAATTTATGGCCAAAAATTAAGGATACAAAGGAATTTTTGAAAAAAAAGCGTATTAACTTCATTTCGTAAAAGCAGAAATAATACTTCGCTATGCACTCCTTTTTTTGCAGATGAACCTTGGACATAAGAAACATTACAAAGATCGAAAACACTATAAATAAAGACGATCAAAAAGAGTTCGGCTTACAAGGACTTCTGCCTGGCGCTCTGACTCTCCATCGTGATCTTCCTCTTGTCAGTCGTGCTCTTCTTCTTATCCTTCCCATCCTTCTCCGATGACTCATCCTTTCTCTTCAACTCCCTCTTGCGACCATCCTTGGCACCCGCCTCCTCCTCGTCATCGCTCAGCTTGCCAAGGGTCTTCCAGGGAAGTGACACTTCCTTCCGTTGTTTCTTGGTTTTCTCACGCTGCGCTTTTCGTTTTTTCTCCTGCTCCCTGGGAAAAAAATCAAAATGGCGAGTGTTCTGTCTACTTAAAACCTGTAATACGTGAACAAGCTCCCCTCTAACAATGAATGACAAATTCATAGAAAAATTTAGCATAGAAATAGCTTTTGCATTATGAAAAGAAACATGAATACAATAAATACCCACGCTGGAAAACGCTCAATTCTGATTGGTTGAAAAATAAAACTGTTGATCAAGAGCACTACTTCCCTCTTATATTAAGGGGGGGGGGGGGTTGGTAGATTGTTCATTTGTTCTAAGAACAAACACATACCTGTCGGTGTCCGCTCGTTTGTCCTGTTGTCTCTTGGGCCTCATCTCTCCCTCTGACTCGCTCGAGTACCTCCTCTCGCCCTTCTTCGTCTCACGAGTCTCATTCGCAAACTCCTGAATCCACACACACAGAGTCACATAAGATTACAAAGGAAAGGCATACAGAAATTTGAATCCGTGCCGCAGGGAATGGTTATCACCGTAACCACTATAAAAAGAGAGTTTGAAACAGTTGCGCAATCTTCATTACTTTAAGCATGTAAAGATGAAGTGAGCCGTTCAACACATTTTGGTACTATTCTACGCTACAGATTGTCGGTGGTCTGAACGGTACCGCGACAACTCACAACAAAAGACAACTCGCAAAACTTAAGGAAAGCGACAACCCGCAAGTTTTTTAAAAACAAATTGGAAGAAATTTTGGTTGAAGGTCGCAGGTTGGCGCGCTACGCGCGCATTGCCACTTCGCGGCAATAACCGGCTCTAAATTTAGTCCTACCCTCTGTTGGCAAGTTTGCAAGACGCATATTGTCTTCTAAGGCGAGTTGTCTTTAAAAGCGAGTTGTCTTTTAGAGCGAGCTGTCTTTTGTTGCGAGTCTTTTCTTACATCAAAAATGTTTATTGCGAGCTGTCGTAATACGGCCTGAACATCGGTTTTTTTTCTAGAGGTGTCAGTATATACTAAGTTTTAAGAGTGATGCAAGCCAAAATAAGTGTTCCTTCTAAGTGTATATGTATCATGAACGAATTCTTTTTGATGAAAATTCAAGCTGAATTTTAAGCTTAAGAGAGTTTTGAGTCCGGGTGGCTCTTTCGAAAACAGGCGCATTGTTTTATGAAACATTTTTTAAAAAAATATATATATTTTTTTGCTATTAGTGCACTTGTGATTCTCCTCACATTTCACAATCAGTTGTGTGCACTTGACATAAATTTGTTATATTTTAAAAATGAACAATTCATTGTTTTTCCGTGAAGTTACTTAAGCTTCTAGACTATTACCTTCGATGCAAGATTTGATGCGAACATGGGACTGACTTCCTTCAACAGACTCTTCAGATCTTTAAAGATTTCCCCTTTCCTCTCGTAATTGGGTTCGGCCGTCTCCTTGTTATAGCCCTAAAGAAGTTCGTAGGCTTAAATTGTCTCAGTATCCAATGTTCGGCAGTTTTATAGGGTAGTGTACAGATATTGAAACTAGGCTTGCAGACGTAATAAAAGCAGAAATAAGTTTTAGACAATTTAAAACACAAAGGCGAAGCAGAGCTTCGAGCCACTTGCGATACCTCAAAAACATAGCATGACAAGCTAGGAGACATAAAATGAGACGAAATCTTCCAAGACCAAAAATATTTGAAAAATAAAATCGAAAAAAGACTGCCTCCACTAAGATTTTTATACATGTCTCGACGAATGAATTTGAATTCAAAGTAAATATGTCTTTAAACACAATTGACATAGCGTTCAGGCGAAATGAATCTAGCTGAAATTAAGACAACAAAACCAAAGTAGTCACGCGTTGGGTAGAAAACAAAATTGAGCAAGAAAAAAAACATGAGCTAGAAAGCTTTGAAACTCGGAAGTTTTTGCATCAGCCTCACACTAAAGCATCTATTATCGAGAACCTATTATTACATTCGAAATGACGCGATATGAGCGCTGATAGTTTTTGTTCTGAAAAATTAAGTTTTATTAGCCTGAAATTATCAGATACGAATGTTACTCGATCACTTTACTCGCTCGAAAATTAGACTGAAACTCGCATGAAAATTACCGACATAGGGAAAAATTTTTGGAAATTTTATCAAGTCCCTCGAATCACAGCTGAAAGGGCTTTATTATGTTTAGTATGATATATCACTCGACCCATTCCGATGATTTTTTTGTGGTAATTGATTTTGAGTGGGAAAAAAAAACAAGCCCGAATCCAAACTTCCTCCCATTTTTAATGGTTGGATCAAAAACTTAAGTATTGAAAAACTGCAATTAAACTTAACAGTCCGCAAAATTACTTTCCCGCATACATCGCATTAAACTGATAACACTGAGTTAAAATTCAGAAAGTAGATACCAAATAAGTGAGACATTTTGAAGCGAGTAATGACAGCAAAAAACTATCACCAATGTATCGCAATGTATAACCACTGATCCGAAAAACAAAGGTAACATATCGTCAACTTTATGGCTTTCAAATGCATTTCATCTTAGACATGTCAATGGTTTGAAAAAATGGAATCAAACTAGCTTTAAAAGTCATATCGTGACCCGAACATGGTATGTATTTGGAGTGAAATGCGAAAATTTTGGTTATTGTAAAAACCTATGAACTTTTGGCTTATCAACAAGAACAACAACAGACATCAAAGGGCCATCACAATTTATCGATATCAAAAAAGGATGGTTTAAGGACGTAAGAATCATAAAAGAAACCAAAAACTATCGTAAACAAATTTCTCGTAAGCGAATCAACTAAGAACTGAAACAGTTCAAATGCCTTTTAGAAGAACTACCACATGCAAGATAAAAAATATTAATTGAAAGAAAACGCTTCATCAAATTGCATTGTTTCACTGAAACTCACCACCCTTATCTGTATTGTTTCGTAGCAATTTGATGAGCTAGCTAAGTCTGTTACCAGAGCGTTTCACAAAAATTGCCCTTACTAATGAAAATAGACTATTATCCAGCTTCAAAATCCGTAATATTTACTGGCATTATTTGCATGTATTGATTTATTATACAGTAACTATTTACATAAATCTACGTTTTCAATTACTCGATGTCTGTAATTTACTAATGCGGATACACTCGAAGGATTGGAAAACAAACTGAAAATGTACCCAACCTCTAACCTTTGCCATGCTAGAAAAATCTCAATTGCTTTTTTCAACCAGAGTTTCCAAACTTATAACTCACTGTGTCACCTAAATTTGCATAGAAATACGCCATTGAAACAGACTGATCAAAGCAAGCGCGAACCGCTATGGTTAAAAGTGTTTCTGATAAATTCGAATTACTTGATTTTGAAAGAAGCCAGAAGTGCTCGCTGTGACGCATATCTCATCCTGCTCCAGAGTTATAATCTCGAGGTAGCATATCTCCCCTTCCAGCTGTCTCAGAGTGGGAGCCCGGCAACCATTCTTGAAAACTATATTGGAAGTGTATATAATTTTTTCAAGCAGCTTTCCGTTGCGAAGGTTCGTGTATCGTTGTAGAAGCTCCACCTCATTGGTCACTACATCTGGAGTCAACCGATAGCCCCTAAAGCAACAGTGCTTCGTGAGTTGAGTACTTCAACATGTAACAAAACAATATTTTCATTTACTGGTTGCAAGACAGGCTTGATCGATACAGCAAACATATTTACCTAATTTTTTCTTAGTGCATTAACCACTTGCCAAGTATGCTAGCTCTGGGTGATGTTAATGCATTGAAAAACAAAATTATACCTCTAAAGGAGTAGCTAGTCGCTGTGCAAATAGCACAGAATGCTGCGAACACTAAAAATCGATCAAAAATTGTTCTACTTTTCTTATTTTTCTGCCGTTTTCTTGAGTTCATTTCGCTTAGCAGCCACTCCCTATTTTTCTAATCTACTGTCCCACGGTAAACGACTCGGAATAGTAAAAATTGAGATTAATTCGAATCATGACTGACAGGGCTTTAATAGACCAGGGGGAGACCTGGGAACAGCAGATATGAGCGTTTAAAAGAAGAAGAAGAAGAAGAAGAATTTATTTCTTCAGACAATTAAATGCAAAAATACAGAAAATGAAGAAACACATTTTTAATAGTCATCATTGAATTTATCTGACATTTTGTATAACATATCTGAAGAGGATAGACCAAGGGCATAATAATTGCCCGCTTGACGTCTACCCTGGTAGTAGTAAGACACGAAAAGTATAATAACTATAAATGAAAAGTATTTAAATAATAAAAATGAAAATTTAGGTCCTGAATTGCACATATCTACAATTTCCATGTCTTCTCCCCTCAAATTTAACCCAAAAAACAATTCGAGCTTGCTTTGGGGTATCTGAAATCGCGGAGGTTAGCGAAAAACCCACCAGAGGTCAAAGTTATTTCCCACTTGTTGAGATTGGTCGGAACAATAAGCTCGCTGCATTAATCAACTTGATCAGCTAGATGCCTTTTTTATAATCGGCAGCGGAACAGTCAAGGCCAAAATAATCAAAACTAGCTGTGTGAGTTTCAAAATTCAAAGAAAAAATATATGGCCTTAAACCTCTTTGACTGTTAAGCAAAAATATGATTGCTACTTATTTTGATAAAAACAACCACATTTGAGAAAACTGGATTAACAAGTAAACTTTTTATTGTGCTGGTAAACCTGAAAACTAAAATCCACTTTCGAAACTAGAAGTCGATCACGTTTTTTGCTGTTCGATAGTGGAATTTGCCAAAGAAAATGAACTGAAAAAAAAATGAACAGAAATCAAAAGACAAACCGCAGAAAAATCAAATTTTAGCGTGAACGAATTTTAAGAATTTCGGACCAACTCAAGGCAGATTGTAGATATTATCCAATTACAAAAGGAAAAACCGCCAATCAATTAAAAATTGAGAAATTTCGTATCACAATTTACCTAGAGCGAAGCTGTACTTCCTTTGCGAGCACAAGCGATAAAACGGCAAAAACTCTAAATAGGCAAAAAAAAAGAAAATTTTAAGAATAAAGAAATATCTTTTTACAAAAAGTCTCTTCAAATAAAACTTCAAAAACAACCAAACTAGTCTATTGCAGTGCAAAAAAAATCTGATGTGTTTCATCTAGATTGGTTGAAGGCAGAAATAAAATGAAGCAATTAGGATAGAAAAAAAAACATTAATTTTTTCATTTTCGTTTTTAGTCCAAACCATGTTATTTTGTTTACTACAAAAAAACAACCTATACAGTCCCTTCTTGTCTGATGTATTGTCTTTCTTTAGGTTGTTTTAGATACTATGATTTTATATTTAACGCTAGTGTACATCAAGTATTAGAAAAAGAAAACTTTTGTCTGAAAACTTTTGGTTTGGCATATCTTAAACTAAGGGATTTTCTGTCAAGTATATTCCTCTGGATTCTATATCTTTCATCAGAACAAGTTAGAGCATGATTGGAAATAGTAATTTACTTCGTATTCTGAACAATTTTTATATAGCTGATTCTTAGATAGTTTTCGATTCATCGGCTTAAAAAGTTGATTTTGATAAATGGATCGGTAGTGAAGTTGTTTATCACTGAGGACAATCTCGAGGAGCGACTGGTGAAAAAATTAGCTGCTTATTGCCAAGCGTAAATTGTTTTTGCTGCTCAAATCCTGGTTTATGATTTTGTTAATAACCACTAAACTGGCCAATTTGATTGTATTATTTTAATTTTCATCTGAAAACGGATCCAATTGCTCGTCAATTGGTGATCTCAATTCGTTGAGATGCTTTTCAATACTGTCCTGATTTGTGGAAAGGTTTGTGAGAGTGCTTATTAGATTTGGGTGTATTTGCAAGAAACAGGCTGTTGTGGTCCTCGTATGGCTGCTACTCCAATGTATCCTTAGAATAGCTGCTGGAACTCCAAGAAGTCTTTTTTCCGTTCTTCCGAAATATTCAACCGGAAATTAAGCTTTTGCCATCTAATTGCAGTTGATGAGTTTCCGATACAATTGATGATTTGTAGTTGCTTTGGAATTGACTACCTTTCGTCTACTTCCAACTTTTGTTTGATCACTAGCTCACTTGACAATCCATCTGTCTGCAACGAGAAGCAGTGATGTTGTAGAAGGTCGCAATTTGGTCGTAACTTTGGTCCTCAATTCTGCAGGTTGGAAAGCAAATAGTGGAACTGGGGTTAATTACAAGTAACAGTTGTATTATTTGTCCCCTGTCAATCTCAGTTTTTCACTGGTGGTGGCTCTGCTACGCATATCTGATCCTCGCTGTGAGAACCAGGTGGTATTTCACTGTTCAGTTTCGAAGTCTTCGGTTGGCGTCAACTTGTTATGAATTCAAAAATATAGTCTTCAACGCGGTCAGTATGTCATATACTGAGTCTTGCCTATCTGATCAATTGTCTTCCTGTAGGCTGTTTCGGAGCTGGTATTGTATAATAAATAGCGCTAACCGCTAACAAGTAATTATGATAATTACTTCTAAATCGAGCGATTTGGCACATCTTAGACAGACAGAAGCCTCAGCCAAACCTTTTCCTATAGATTCTATTTTAACAATCAAAACAAATTGGGGCGTGATGGAATAATTTCTTCACTTCGAATCCTGATCAGTCCTTTTACAGAACGGATAAACTTCTCTATATTTGACGATACTAGTTGTCAATGTTCGCGTAATAAAGTAAATATAAGAAGAGATAGCTCCATCTTCAAGGTGCGTTATATAATTGATTATATCAAAATGGCTAATATGAAATGCATGGCATCTGGCCGGGATGTCACATAACTTTTCAAGAAAAAAATCTTTCCTGGTGGTAGGAATTTGAGTATCATATTGTATCTGACCTGCTGCGGTCTGTTGGGGTTGCGAGCAGTTCGAGGGTAACTGCATTTGTGCTAACTGTAGACCGCGTCATTAGCGAAAATGTTGATTTTAGTACATGGCTGGGTAGTGATATTGTTGGTATCATTTGGAAACTTTGTTGAGGCGTGACTGAACAAAAGTTCAACTGGTTACTGCCTAGCGCAAATTGCTTTTGCTGTCCAATCCTTTGATTTGATGCTGTTCAGAACCACTGAGCTGACTAGTTTGATTGCATTATTTTGTGTCTTTTGTCCTATTATTTTCGCTTCTTGTCGTCCATAGTTCGATTTAGCTGCGGTCACCGGAGTTTTGTTTATTATTTGCTGTTTCAATTTATTGCTTCTTAGTGTCGCGATTTTTTCTGTAAACGTAGCACAGAAATGACCCGAATTAAAGGGGAGTTGCAGTTCCCGATCGACCCCTCTTCCGGTAGGCTACTTTCCGAGTAAAGTTTCACACAAAACGGTAATCACACATTCTGTCACAAAAACTAAATGCAATCATGCTCATACATGTTGCGTTCTTGCCAGTGGTTAAGCCCAATGATTCGTGAAATGTTTCAAGAAAACACCCGTTGCCTTCAGCTAACTCTTCAAATCCTTTTCCTTATCGGCCTTGAATCGACTCTGTTCGTATGTCAAAATTATCATCTGGGAGGGGTCCTGGAGACAATCTACCTTTGGCAGGGATGCCTTTTAACCTTTCACACACTAGGTAAAAGGACAAGCTGCCTCATCGGCTATTCTTATTGTAAATTATTGGCTATTCTAATCATCGGTTAAAAATTGTTATTATGTAGGTTCTGTACTATCAAACTTTGATGCAGCTTCTAATCCCGTCAGCCTTTAACTAAATTAGTCTGAAAAACGAAAAAATTCGGACCTGTTTTTCTTGACACTGACAAGTTTTTGAATTTTTTTTTTGAATTCTTCTCACGGCGGAAAAGTCTGTAATATGTTATGACTCCGTGAGTTTTCTATGAGGGTGTCGAAATCAGAAAGAAATGAAACAAACTACGCGAAAGGTACCTCCCGCACTTAGAGGATAGTCAAAACAACAAATATCGATACAGAGACGAAGAAGAGACTAATTGCAAAGATGAAAAAAGCGGTGAAAAGCAATACCACAAAAACAACATCACCTCAAGAAGGAGAAGAGGAAACGACTACGCAAGGAAATCGTTTCAAGGACCCTTTTTGTGAAGGGAGCGGCCCGGCAATAGCCGAACCGAACACCTCCTAAAACAACCTGTAGGCTACAAAAGTCGCCTCAACGGCCGGGTGTTCAAGGTTGGCGAACGACACCAAGCTAGGATTGTAAAATGGTGCCTGATGGACATACATCCAAATCCCGGGCCGAGGACAGTGGACATCAACAGGTGGACTGAACAGAAGCTTCGGGAGATGCGAGCACGGACGAGGAGAGAAAGACGCAGTGAAAAAAGAGGTTCCAAATGGACGCGTATGCTAGAAAACCGGAGCAAACAAGGGAAGGAGCAACTAACGGGGAAAGTGAGGAAGAAAGAGAAAGAACGGTGGAGAAGAAAAGTGAACCAGAAACTCTCAAGGAGAACCAACCGTTACTCTAAGGTAATCACGTGGAACCTGCAGAGGTGCAAAATCCAGGTGGATGGACGAGGCCGAATTCAGCATATCCTAGCAGCAGTACAGGAGAACAAATGGGATATTGTCCTGCTGTCGGAAATATCCTCAAAAGAGGAGGGGGTATGGTGGTACGAAGAGGACTCAGTTCTAATCCATGGGAAAAGAGCCGGTATTATCTTAAGAAACCATTGGGCCCAAGAGTGGAAGAAGCAAGGGAGCCAAAAATGGTTGGCCGAACGAGTAGCCATGGTAACAGTGAACAACATCAAGTTGATCGCAGTCTACCAGCCAGTATCGTCGAATGATATGGAAATCGACGAATACCGAAAACAGCTAGAGACAGCGATATCGTGTAGGAAAAAGGACGAAATGTTGCTCATCGGAGGAGACCACAATGCTCAAATAGGCAGGCAAGATAATACGGGAAAAGAGAGGACTCTGGGAAAGTTCGGGTTACGAGCAAACTCGGAAGCAGGGGACGATTTCGTCGAGTGGGCGGAAAACAATAACCTGTACATCGTGGACACCTATTTTAGAAAGAATAATAGAGGTACGTGGTGTCATCCAAGAACAGGTAATTGGTACGAGCTGGATTACTTCTTAGCTAAGAGACACAGAAATTTAATCATCAAAGATATGAAGGTGGTACGGGAAGACAGATGGTCCGATCATCAGCCCAAGAGAATTAAAGTGAGCTTCAGAGAAAATAAGCAAAGATTTAACCGTACAAAACAAGAGAACATAGACTGGCGGAAGCTACGCATCAAGAAACATCAAGATGAGTATCAGGAACACATAAGCGAGGCCTCCCTTTCAAACGAACCCTCTTGGGCAGAATTAGCAGAAACCATGAAAAGGGCAGCTAAGGCTGCTTGTGGGTTAGAAGATACAAGAAGCAAAACCAGTCAATGGATGGTAGGCCATGAAGACCGTGCAAGAGCGTTCAAAAACGGAAGTCAAAGGGCAGTCAAAAAACGGAACGAGGCGCAAATGCACAACGCCAGAGAAGAGCTTAAAACAGTACGAAAAGAGTATAAACGGAGACTCAGAGAGTGAAAAACAGAATGGTGGGAAGCTCTCTTAGTCAAATGCGAGGAAGCTATGCGTAGGCAAGACATCGGGGAGATGTACAGCATCCTCAAGCAGCTAGGACTTAGAGGTTACGCAGTACCTTATTCCAGAAAGTGCAAGAAAAACGCGAAGAAAATGGACTGACAGAGAAGATCCAGTCGAGGAGGTTCAAACGAGAGTTCGCTCAAACGACACCAGAGGGACGTCAAATGGCCAAGGAGTGCAGTACAATGCCTTCAGAAGAAGAAATCATGAAAGAGTGGGCGAAGGTTAAGGAAAAAGCACTTGGCGAGGACGACATCCGAATGATCTACCTTAAGTCAGCTATAATAGAATTCCAAAAGAGAATATTAAAAGTGATACAAACCATGTTCAACACATCAGCGGAATATTGGGATGATATAGTCAAAGTGGGACTCATTCCACTGCACAAGAAAGGAGCGAAGGACAACTCCGATAATTTCCGCAGTGTTTGCCTGTTATCCACGGTGAGCCGAATTCTCGCTAGAATTTTAACAACACGACTCCGGGATCGGAGCGAGGAATTTGACGCCCTAAATGATAATCAAGATGGCTTTAGACAACACAGATCTACAGCCGACACCACCCAAATAATGGTCAGACTACCGGAAGATAACTGAAGGATATGCGAATCACAAAGTCTGAATAGAGACCGAGCGTGTCTATTAGATCTGAGAAAAGCCTATCCAAGAGTCAATCGACCACTTTTGTCGAAAATACTGGAAAGTTTTGGGTTCGAAGATAATTTCCTAGGACGATTAAAGGACCTACACGAAGTAGCTTCTTACAAAGTGAAAGACAATAAGGAAGTTAGCTCCGAATGGACACCTCAAAGAGGATTGAGGGAGTGATGTCCTTCTTCCCCAATGCTTTTTAACATATTTGATCAGATCTTAATAAGAGCAGCAGAAAAACAAAGGGTAGACAATGGTATAAAAATTACTTGCATACCTGGAAACACCTGCATGACACAAAGGAGAGACAAACAAAATGCTGAGGCGAAGCATATAGACCTCAAATACGCCTTGTTCGCTGTTGACACTACTATCTTGAGTAACAAGGAAAGTATGGGTGTCGCAAGAAACACCACCAAAAGAGTAATGGGCCTCTTCGAAGAGAAAACAAACGTATCTAAAGAGGAAAACATAACTCTGGGTGAAACCAGCGCGGCAGGAACCAGATTCTTGGGTTTTTGGCTGGGAGAAGCTGAAGACACAAGAGTACGATTACAACACGGGATGGGAGCTTGCACAAAGATCAAAAGACGCCTCAAAAACTCAAGGTTAACTAAAAGAACGCAAGCGCGTGTAGTTGAGGCAGTCGTGGAAAGCACCATGTTGTACAACTGCCAAGTACGGACCTGGAATGTGTCAGAAATAAACAGAATCCAAAGGAAAGTAGACCAATGTTACCGTTATGTATGGAGTTCCAAGACCCAGCCACCGCTGAAGCAAATGGAACAAAAACACAAAAACAGATGGAATGTAAGGAAAGAACTCAGAAAAAAATCAGTCAGAATAAAAATCGAAAAACGGAGTATGGAACGCCTAGGACATATGATACGTATGCCCGACGACAGAAGAGTGAAGCACGTAACTTTTGGCTGGTTGAGCAAGTTAGAAAAAGTTGCAAAACCGAGAGCGAAGTACCGTTGCACTCCCAGACAATGGATCAAATTGACGTGCGAGGCAGGAATTGACCAATTAGATATCGAAGAGATGGCAAAAGACAGAAAGCAATGGAAAACGATTATAAAAAGCAGAATGACACATCTGGAAAGACGGGAGGAATCCCATGAGAATGGATGGGGAGGAGGCAAGATAGAACGCTCACAAGGAAAGGAAAGCATCAATCTCGTGGGTAGTCACTGCGAGAAAGTCTGCAAATCTACAACTGGTCGGGCAGTGCATATAAGAAGAATGCACAGAGAGAACAACGTGGAACATACGTGCATCAATTGCCACGCCAAATTCCCAACGAAAACAAACCTGAAGAATCACGAGAAGAAATGCCCTACCAAGTACGTCCCGGCAACAAAGGAATGTCCACTGTGCATTAAAATGATCTCCGCAACCAACCTAGCGAGACATATGACCAGGAGCTGTAGAAAGCGACATAGGGGACCCTAACAGGGAGAATACCGGAGAGAGAGAGAGAGAGAGAGAGAGAGAAAAAAAGAAAACCGTTTTTCAAAAAGGCTCCAAATGGAACGAGCTCGATGCCCTCCAAGTTAAAGTCCAGAATTATACGGCCACCAGACCGGCTTGAAACCTTAGCCTTGAATAAAAAAAAGTTGCTCTCAGAAAAAAGTGAGCTTCATAATATGACACGTCGCGGGTAGGAACATGAACTAATTACTTAAGCGAGCTTTTTTGATCAGTTTTTCTCATTATAGCCCCCTAGCCAAAGAACAAAGAGGGCGATTTTACAGGGTCTAAAATGGGGAAAGAGCCACTAAGCTTGCTTGAGTAAAAATTTTATGTTCTTAGGCTAGTTTATGTTCGGTTAGATGGCTCGTGGTCGATAAGGCCTTCGCCTCCTGATCACCAGATTTTCAGTTTTCCTTTCCAGTTTTAGCAGCTTATTTCCTCTCTCTTCAAATGGTAGTATCTGGCTTTGGTCGTATCTGGCTCTTGATCATTATTAACAATCAAAATAATAATAACAATAATAATTTCAATAATAATCATAATAATAATAATCATCATAAAAAAATAGTAACAATAATAATAATAATAATAATAATAATAATAATAAAGTTTAGGGAAGTACCCAAGGGAGTTGTTGTTTCCGAGTTACAGCCTTACAAAAAAAAATCCTGAGTTTATGTCGAGCTCTGCACTCTTATCATAAACATGTCAGTCTCCATGAGCAAATGCCTTCAAGATTATACTTATTTCCAAAATAGTTAAAGTACACTTCAGCTATTATTTTCTTCGGATGTTCTATTTCGTCAAGATTGAACCCAATCTTTTTTTCTACTGCATTTGCTGAGAATGTACCCCTTGTCCAGAAGTCACTTTCTTGTTTTTGCTTTGACAATTTTCGCGCTTTGAAAAGTTTCAATTCTTGCGCTCTCGTTTTTTGAGTCCGATTTGCATTGAGCTTGAACAACTGCATACGGTAATGATTGTAATTTTGATTTTTTGATGAAATACGTTTATTAAGTTTATTCAAACTGAACCGAAATCTAAATTCTGCGAGTCTCTTTTTTATGTCGATGAAGGGCTAAGTGTACGGCTGTATGATACATTTGTCTTATTACAGCATTTTCCATCCTAGTAAAAAAGAAAATGAACAACACTATTTTTCATTTTAAGGTCTTAATTGACTAAATACTATTAGCCGCTAGAAATGCAAACAATTACTCACTCTGAAAATTGTTGCACGAAAACTTTCATCAACTCCATGTCCAAATTGTTGAAAGCTATATATAACTTGAGAATAGATCTTTGATTATCATCCTGGTCCGATTTACTTTGATCAATCAATCTAGCAAGAGTCCCATCGTCTCCCCCTGTTGTAGCATAGGTTGCACCAAGAATGTTGGCCACTGGATCTTGATTTTCTGCAGAAAGAATCAAATGTTTTAAATTCGGCGTATTCCACAATTTGAAGTACTTAAATTATTAACCTTCAAGAATAAAACGCGCTTCCTTCGTTTTACTTTCCGCAGCGGTTTGCAATACTTTCATAAGCATTGGCATTGAGAGAATGGTAATTTTGTTCCCAGAAACTGACAACAGTGAAGAGTTTCCATCTTTCGTTTTCTCCGAAGACTCAAAGGTTCCACTAAAACAAATTGATGTTAACAAAATCATTCAAAAAACAAAACTTTAATAGCAAATTGAAATCACTTTCAAGAAGCAAGTGTTAGTCACATTATTTTACTTTTATTTTTCATATTTTCTCTGCACACATAATTATACATAGCTATACATAGCTATACATAGCTATTATACACTACTTATTACGAAAAGCATGAACTACAAAAAGCATAATACTAATTTCAATCACTTACCCAGAACCCCCGAAATCACCTGCATTCAGATGGCTGGTGTAAACCAATGGTTTTTGAAATTCCAAGTTCGCGCAGTCAGAATGTCTGTTGGGAATAGCTTCCGTAAATTCCACTATTTCTTTCAAAAGTTTTTCATTTATGGGTGACATGGCTAGTTTTCCTCGGCCACCTGCTGTAGCTGAAGTCCATTCAGCGGCTCTTGTAAGCGATTGGCCCATTATATCTGTTGGTTTACAAACGTTCCTCTAAAATTGATAATAATTTTATTTGAATCGTGAGAGAGAGAGAGAGAGAAAATTTTAATTGTGTTTTGACTTAACAGTCCTCATCAAATCTTCGAGTTTTTTGTTTTGACATGTAAACTTCTATCGAACACTGTCAATCGAAATTTTGAAATGCGAAAAATCAGATACTGGATATCGTAAACAAAAAAAAGAACTCACTCAGGACACCCAGTATCCGTTTGAGCAAAAAAATGTACAGAAAAAATTCAGAAATTTAAACTTTACACATACACATATACCTCAAATCACTATTTTTTATCTGTAAAACGTTGCTTCCAAAAGCTTTAGGCAAGTTTAGACCAGAATAAGCGTTATTCATGACGATAAAGTACTCAGGATTGGCATCCGTTATTAATATTCAGCCGGTTTTTGAAATGCATAATTTATAAACTAGAAATTTGCCTTCAACCGTGGTTTATTTTTCACCTATCCTAAAAGCGTTATTCATGACGATAAATTACTCAGGATTGGCATCCGTTATTAATATTCAGCCGGTTTTTGAAATGCATAAATTATAAACTAGAAATTTGCCTTCAACCGTGGTTTATTTTTCACCTTTCCTAAAAATCAGTTGGAGGCTTAAATTTTATGAAATTGTCAATAACTACAGAAGAAAGATCATGAAATTAAGTAGTTCTTCGAAAACGTCTTCAAATTCATCATAGTTTATGACTTGATGGAAAAATTTTCGGCTTGAAGTCCCTAAGTTTACGATTCGGCGTGAAATCCCGTCGGCTTGATGTCCGGCACCCCAGAAACTGATTAGATGAGCTCTCAACAATTTAGAAGGTGTTTCTTGTGTTTACAATTAGGTTACTAACTCGATGAGTTGTTTTGGACAAATATGATGTTATTTGATGTACATATTGATTATGAAACTCTCAACTAAAAAAATCAACTTACAATTTGAAAAAAAAACTCGTTTCAAACCAACAAACCAGTAATCAATCCCCACTACAACCAAGCTCCAATAATACCAGCGACGATGAAAACGACGACGAAACAACCAGCGATAAGTCTTCTAATGGCAGCGAAAATGTCGAGGAAAAGAATGTCGAAACACCACCAACCACCATCTAAAGTTTTGGTTAATGAATCTAAAACAAACAATGCAGCAAATCCAAGCGATTAAAAACAAAGGATGAGGTTCTCCACAAACGGGTCGTAGATTTTCATTTTTACTTTGCCAAGCAAAAAAAAGACAAAAAATATATCGAAAACAACAAACGTAAATGTTCCTCTGACGGAAGAATGGCAACAAAAAAAGAGAGCGTGAAATTTCACCAACCGCTTGGTCAGTTTTAACACGGAAAAAATGTCAAAAACGAAATCTAAAAGAATCGGAGAAGACTCGGTTGGAGGGAAGTCTTAGCAAAATTTCTATGTGCGAAAAACCAGATAAACTTTCCGTTAAAAATTGAGCATTGAAAGTCCAGCTAATTTACACTCGCTTTGTGTCAGTCGGTCATAATTGGAAGTTTGACCTTGATCAACGCGAGAAACATGATTTTGAGGTGAAATGGAACTTTTCTCGCGATAATTGAAAATCTCAGAAATACAAGATCAGAACAACAGAACTCCAATCGCGGGAAAGTGGTCGGAAAAAGCAGCGGAAAATTGCTATTCGCAATTTCCAGATATGATATCACATTAGAGTAGAGCTGTCTTATCCTAAAACAGAAGGCAGAGCAATAGCGAACAAAGGAGGGACAAATAAGACGTGGACCAGAGTGAACCTTCGATGGGAAGGTGGACAGCCGAAGTCTCCCAATGAAGCAGCCCCAAAACTTAATTCTCAAGTCCAAACTCATTTCTCGAATTCGAACTGATTACTGTTCAACTCCTCGAGTCAAACTTAACTCTATTTGTGCTAGAATTGCTGACTAAATTAATTACTCCAATTCTTGAGTGTGCCGGTATGCAAGTACCCATTTTAGATTTCTTGAGTGTGTTTTATATTTGTTATGTTGATGTTGGGAAAGTTTTAGATTGATCCATCTGAAATGGATCGAAGTTCAACTGTCCAATAAAAGGTAATTGTACGGACTGTTCCGACCCTTATCTTAATGGCGTTCGCGTATTTTTTTTGATACCTAAGTATGGGAACATTCCTATTTTCTAGAGTGGGGCGTATTTTGGTAGTGACCCTTAAGCTGTAACGAGGGTTTTAGTCTCATGTCGCAAGTGAACCGAATTGGCTCCGACCGTTCGAGGTAGAAAAAACAAGAGATAGTGTCCCTGACTCTTGAGCCAAGGGTTATAGGGTCTATTTCTCTTTAACCTCATTTGTGACTTAAGTAGGCGACTGTTACATAGTGTATTTATGGCGCTCCTGAGTGTTTTTACGACATCATGACTACGGAGTCGAACTCACTTGACACAGCTCCGGTCTACATGCCAATTCTAGTTGTACCGTGAAAGCTTTTTAAGAAAACTATAGAAAATTTCCTGGAACGATCTCCGAACGAGGCCTAGCTAACCGAGTAAGGGGGGGGGGGGGGTAACTAGGGACTAGGGGGACAAAAAACGAGCTAAGAGACAAAAAGCGAAACAAAAACCAAAAAAGAATAGAAAAAGGAAAAAAACCATAAAAAACAGAAAATTTCCTGGAATGGAAAAGCCCTATTTCGTGTTCAACAAAATTGCAACATCCAATGTCTACTTTATAATTTGAAAAAAAGTCCTGGTTCCGATCTTGTACATCCTTGATGGCTCACAGCTGTTCGTTCGCTACTTTACCTCTCAAAAGCTCTACCTCTGGTAATACCGGTTTTTCCATTTCTAACTTTTCTAGTGTGGATCTTTTTCAGAAAATTCGAACAGATCGAAAGTCCATCGTCTGTCTCTGACATAAGCGATTTCACAAGACCTGATGAATATTTTATTTTCTCCAATCTTCTCAAGATACAAATCTTATCCGTATGGTTTGGGCAATCAAGCACTTCATTTTCTTTCACATTTTCAGTCGTTTTAATTCGAGTTTTCACAGGTAGAGCGTATCCCAGTTTTCTTCCCCTCTGAATTGTGATAGGTATATCAAGAGTGTTCAACAAGACAATGACGCAAAGGCCACTCTTGGTTATCGAGAAGGATCTTCCTAAATTAGCAGCACTTTGACTATTTGGTTTTGGGACTATGCATATTTGTTTATTGTCATTTAAATCATTATAATTTTTCATCCGCAAACCTACTATCGCCGCTTCGTTTGCTTTCAGCCTTAATCTCCTGCTCAAGAATACTGGAACTTTATGTTCCTTCGCCATTATCAAATTTACCGGTTTAATTACGTACTTCCTTTCCGGGTTCCGAATCCTGAAAAAAAAATCTCTATGCCGAGCAGGAAAGTGGATCACAGGAAGGGGACCCGAGAAGTGCTGGACACCCCAAGGAGACATCCAGCATGGACGAGAACAAACAGAGAAGGGCACACAGGGGTGTTCTGTTTGGTCAATCGACAGACCACTGGGAGACTTGACTGGTACATGTGACCAGCCAAATGGGAAAGTGGTGCTGGTGAGAGGTGCTGGACACGCCAAGGAGACAATCAGCACGGAATCAGAACAACCAGAGTAGGACACACAGGGGTGTTCTGTTTGGTCAATCGGGTATCGTTAAAATCCACATTTCATTATAACAGATAAGTGTAAAATTGGATAAGCGGATTCCCACTGTTTTGAGGATACAATTTTACTTGAGCAGAGCTTGAAAACAGGTTCTACGGTTTTCTCTCAAGAGGTTTAGCACCCATCGCGCTTAAGGTAACTTTCGGCTCAAGAAGGGGGCTAAATCTGGGGGAAATTAGAAGGGGGCTGGTTAAGTTGGAGGTTGGCGGTTGGCGGTTGCAAATTGTAAAAAAGGGGGACACATTATAGTAACTAATCAATCGATATCGTCGATCAAGTTGCATTAGTAAACCCAGAGTCTGGGAAGATTCATCTTTAGACCATGAACAAGAGTTGCAACGCGAGAAAATCCAAATTTAAGATCGAATTAAGATAGGTACCCTGGTTGGATAGGGTGGGGGATCAGAAATAGACAATTTTTGGAAACCCGGAAGGAGAATACCTAATAAGAACATTAATAGGGGGAAGGAAAACGCGTGATAATCAGGTATCAGACATTTTTTCACGAAAGGGAGACATTGGTCACCTTTGAATTTTAGCTGGGTTCATCTTTCTGTTTTTTATCATTTTCTCGCTTGAGTTACCACGTTTTCCGGTTTAAATTTATCGGTTTTCAACGAATAGGTGATCACAAGACTCCAGCTAACAAGTTGGGTTTCAACTTGCATCGGATCATGAAAGGGAGATAATTACAGGGGGGCTAGTAATTAAAACTTTTGGTTGTGTTTTGGTGAGCCTTTTATGCTAGAGCTCAAGTTGTGGTACTGGGGATAGTGATCTAAGGGTCCCAACACCGAAGAAGAAGGATCCGATTGTCCCAACACTTGAGCGAGGAGGTCTTGGGACAGTGCGAGGAGGTCTTGGGACAGCACGAGGAGGTCATGTGACAGTGCGAAGCGTCCCAACACTGGAGTGTTAGGTCTTAAGACAGTGCGAAGAGGTCTTGGGACAGTACGAGGAGGTCTTAGGACAACGCGGAGCCTCCCAACACTTGAGTGCTAGGTCTTGGGACAGTGCGAGGAGGTCATGGGACAGTAAGAGGAGGTCTTGGGACAGTGCGAAGTGTCCCAACACTTGAGTGGTAGGTCTTGGGACAGTACCAGGTGTCCCAACACTAGGAAGGGGACAATACGTGAAGATAGGACATGAGGTTTCCGGAGATGGGACATGAGGTTTCAGCTTTTCATAATGCGCTGCTCGCCCCGTTGCAATTTTGCAAACCAATCTGAAAAAAAATTCATTGTCCTGTGCCAAACCTAAGCCCCCCCTTACTACGTTTCTTTTTAAGTTGTTATCCCAACAATTTTTTGTTAAAATAATTCAATTAGTGACTTTATGAGCATGCAGATCCATTTTATGTTTTAGCACCATCAACTTTCTAAGATTTAATTGTCAT